GGACAGTGGATGTGGTGGTGGTCATCATATAATACAGTCCAGGACATTGAATGTGGTGATGGTCATCATATAGTACAGTCAAGGACAGTGGATGTGGTGATGGTCATCGATCGGGTTCTTGATGAGCGTATTCCATCAGATGTGTGTTTTGTAGCCTCTATAATGACCCTTAAATCTACCCTAAATCAGTTCGATGAGCCTAGAACTGTTTGTAATTCAAATAGTAAGTTCAAATTTGAAACCTTGTTAATTAATTCCAGTTATTATAAGTGCTAATTTGGCCGAACAATAGTGAGACTGTTCATTCAAAAGATTTGGTTGCATTTTACATGTGTCTGTGTTTATTTTTTACAAACTAGAATTACTAAAAAAGGGTATATCCAAGATACACGACTGATAGAGTTGAGTAGTAATAATGTTTTAATAATTGCAAGGGGCAGAAATATAATTTATTCATCAGTACCAAGTTGACTCTTGTATGGAGTGTTTCAAACAAATAGGTTTCTCCAAAGTTAATGTCATGAACTATTTATCGGACCACTACGCAACTATATTGCCATTAACTGTGGATTTTAACAATAACTGCTGTGTGTCTGAGGCCACCAACTCATAAATGTATTTGAGATGATCCTTCGAAACTTAAATACCGAAAATTCGTGAATATTATATATATATATATATATATATATAGTCTTAATAATTTCTAAGCAATAGCAGCACAAAAAAGGTGACATGGTATGAAACAATATCAATATCTTATCAAAAAATCAAATAATTCCACTAAACTACAGATATAGATAACTTGCCAGTAGCAAATCTTTGATCCGTGTTTTCACGCACTATTGGCAAAGTGTGGATGAATATCAAGTCATCGGGGTTAAATTGAAAAATTAAAACAACTGATTTTAACAAGTGAAATAGGTAATATATTAAGAATATTTCATAACAAAATGTATTTAATACGCTCACAATAATTTTCATAATTGACGGTTACGCGTGAATATTTAATACAAAACATATTCTTGATATTTTTGCATTTCATTTGTTATGACTGAAGGCAGCTGAAAGAAAATACAAAGTGTGTAGTTTGTTCAACAATTCACGTATGAACTTTAATAAATATAGTTTTACTTGGTAAAAATACTGTATTTTCCTCTATAAAAACGAAGAAATGTCAAAAAAATCGAAGTGTTACTGCAGCGGCTATTAATATTGTAAGCCGACTTTTCCAGTATCATTTATAGCTGGAAAGGAAGGAAGATCAAATCATGTGCATTTCACTATTTCTACTGAATCCAATCGTGTTAGATTGCGAGTGTGTCAAAAACCGGATTTGTTAACTATTAACCAGATTTATCTATGCACATAAATCACCTGAAGGTTGACTGTAGCTTTGTTTGTGTAGTCGTCATACGACCAGTGTTCTAACTTCACTAGTATTACGCCCCGACGGCAAAACTGTGTTAAATATGGAAACTCTTCGCCAGTTACTGATGTTAACGTTGTGTTATCTTGCACTCACTATCACAGGTATGTATCCAGGAGAATGTGTCGTCGGATTATATTGCTAAGTTTCTATTTTTTATTAGGTGTTTATGGTATCGGTCAAACTGTCTTCTGGTGACGTAATTGTTTTACTTTTAAAAAAGACTTTCATCCACTAGCATTGTCGAAATTAAAGCAATTTATAACAGCAAATTACGTGTTCTTGAACCAACCTTTTTTTAAATTGTCAGACACAATCGATTTTGGCGCGTACATGCTTGTACTGCATACGTAGGACGTGTATGACGGATATCTCAGGTGCACAGTACCAATGTTTTTACATATTCACTAAAAACAACAAACTGCAACAAGGACATCGTCATTAACAAATGTGTCCGATCATTTTTTTTAATTTGCTCAAATATTTACTATTTCATGGGTTTACCGGTAGTATTAAACTATAGTATTACTATATATATATATATATATATATATATATGAACAGTCTCACTGAAAGTGTGCGTTCCTTCACTATAGAGGTAAGAAGCGAATATTGCTACGGTTATTACGATTTCGAGGGTGATTTTACAGAAGGTTTCACCTGTCCCAAATGGTTTGACTCCAGTTCTGAGACATACTGCTGTGGTTCAAGTACCTACAAATACTGTTGTGGTTACGATGACTGGTTGTCTTATGGATTAAGTGCACCCACTGGTCTCGGGTGAGTTAATGTCCGCAATCTAATTTCACTTAACTACCACAATAATGTAATAGTCGTACTTGTTCTGGGCAGGCAACCTAGGAAGACTCGCCCACAGTTAAAAGCTACTCTAGAAGGTCGAATAGCCGGCGTGCCACTGTACAAGTGAGGGTTGAAAATTACATAAAAACTACAATTGGTCATAACTTTACGCACGTCATAGAAATACTTGACCCCAATGGTACCAGTATACGTAGTTAACAAAAGTAGTTGAACAGGACATATAACATCCCGCTTGTACCGACTCAAAATACACAAGTACCGTTCATGAGTAAATATTACTCTTGGCATGGTAACTGTAACACAGCAACACGATAACAATTCAAAGCGAGAGAATGCCTGAATGGGGGGGGGGCTATAATCGTTTAAACATATAAGCATATATTCATTAACATCTGACGGATATTTGTGCTATTGGCAGCAAAAAACGACTAATAAAGCACGGCACGTTAAAATTGTTATATATTATATTGTTCCCAACGTTTTGCACTATCATGTCAAATTAAAGATGTGTTACGTCTCACTGTAATTATAACTAAAATAACTAAAATCCATTACTATGTCATCTTATTGATATTTTGGTGACATTGCTCTTCATTGTAATGGGGCGCTAAATCGTCAATATGGCAGGTGGCATACTCAGTACAGTCTCGAAAGAGCTGCCAGGGATTTCCTTGTATTATTTTTAATTTTGATTACGATTGTCAATTATATTATACTCAACTTTTCATCATTACATGTGGTAACAGTGACGTTTTCCGATCATCCGAATAACCTTTACAAAATATTATTATATACAATTTAAATAAGATAATTTTTTGAATTCACATCTTGTTTTGTTGCTATTCCATCACGAGGGGCTCGTTCGACGTTCACTTTTGGTCAACAATAACTTATAAGATACCGTATTATAACAGCTTGGAGAATGTTGTATCTATATACAATATAGTTGATGCAAATACAATTTTTCGTGAGATATCAACAAATGAACAAAACAGAGGCACACGCGTTTACTAACTTAACAACACCGGGAACTCGAAACTCGTCTATTTAATACAATATTAGATGATTGGCAACCAATGAGTATTCGCGTTGACGGGTGGAGAAAATGACGGGTGGAGAAAATGTACTCCGAGCCATTTTCGTTATTACATAAATCCAATAGTAGCTAATGAAGTACATGACTCTACTAATCATGGAATTTATCACCGGTATATTCAAAGGGCATGTTCACACCACGGAGTTACATGAAAAGTTGAGATTTGTATAATAATATTTTGCAATCAAGACAGACAATCATTGGTATTAATTACACCTCGAGATGGTACCTATAAACTGTCTTGTCTTTTCTCCTGAAACTTAACAAAGAAGCATGTTTTTGCTGTTGTGTAGTACAGCCTTTGTATGTTACAATATATCAATAAGGCACTATTTCGTACATTGTAAACAGGACAGCTGCAATCTTTGGAATTGTTATTACTGTACTTATCATTGTTGGAACCATTGCTGGTATAGCCGCATGTGTGTGTTGTTGTATCAAAGCAGGAAGTAACAAAAGTACACGAACCCACGTAATTCGTAAGTATAAGAAACAAACATCTACTAAAGAATCACTTCGTGTGGGCGTGTGATTAATGGTTTCAAGGACCGCTTTGGTTACTCACAAATACCATTAGACTGACTATGAGGTTATTACGAGGAAGTTTGCACGAATACAGCCTGAGTACAGCGACACTATGCGAGACGTACTGTCTGAGTGCATACTTTGAGGTATCCTCGTAATAACCTTATTATTATACATCTTTGCCTTTCAAGGATACATCATGTGAATGCCGAAATCCAAAAAGTTTAGAACAGAATCAGCGAACTTTTTTGTGTGGAGTCCGGTCAAACCTTGGTGGCAGCCGTGTTTGTTTTTATTATTAGAGGACGTTTACGCGTGTAATCATTTCATATTTGGAATTCGCATTTCCTTATATGGTAGGATGAACAAAACCCTTAAAATACCGCAAAATTACGGCACGCTGTAACTCATGGCGTTACAGTGAAAGATGTATATTAATATTTGTTATGTAATGATGCAAATGTTACAATATTCACACCGTTTTGGGCCATAATTGTAACACTTAGACATTACATTTGTTCTTGCAAGGATTATTCCACTTCATTGACTAGATTTGTTACAACTTTACAGATACCCAATTTAATCCACCACCAGATGGCGCGCTATGGACTGTACAATCACCGCCAGCGTATGGACTACAACCACCGTACGCTAAGCTGCCACCGACATACGACCCAGTAGCGCAGGTATATGGCAAATAAGTACATCCGTAAGGAACTGTTGTTGGACAAATACTGAACCAAAACAACAAGCACATTTAACCAAGAAGAGTGCATTATAATTATAACACGATTTAAAGACTACATTACACAGACAATTTTACAGATAATGAAAAATGTACTTTTAATTTTTTCATTTTAAAAAATGACATGATTATAAACGTGAGATGTAATTGTATTTTACTCCTGATTACTGCTTTCAATTGTTTTGTAATTGTAAATATGACATTAATGATGACCTCAGAGGTCAAATAAATTGTATCATTCTACATTGATCGATTTCCACAGGCACATCTCTACTTTGAAAGCTATTAATTACTATGACCATAGATGTCGGTGATAGCGTGAAATGACAGTAACGCTCTGTTATGGCCACTCTTGAGATTGTGTCAGCTTTTCAGTCAGTGATTGAATCTGTGTGGACTAAGTGGAGTGGAAGTATTTGGCGGCTTTCATCAAAACAACCGTTATCATATATGCAGTTACTTGCAACCTGGTTGCATGAAATGACAGCGAAGGTTTTTAGTTATGGTGAGGTATATTATCATTGAGGGTGATGACTTTAATAAGGTCACTCAAAGCGTCATACATTCGAACGTTTTCAAAAAAATCGCGGTCATATCTTGTACGCACTAAGCGTACGTTTTCTAAAACTCTGGGTCTGAGCAAGACGCAATGTTACTAATATAACTCATTTTAGCCAAGAAGAAAATATTGTATTGACCCGGGTACTTTTGCCTACGCCCTTGGTCAATGTCAGTATACTAGAATCTTGTATAAGAGCAATATATTCTAAATAAATAACGGTTTCATGTAACTCTATGTTCGATACGATCATTGTTTTTTGACAGTCATTGACCTAATTATCAGTTCCTTGTCCAGCTGACATTATATGCTATTATTGTGACTGATTTAGCAGAACCCGAATAACCTCTAGTCAGTTCATACTAATCCCACATCTTGCAATGTGAACATGAGTAAATTTACATCCTTCATTCTTGGTGGAATCAAATATGTAACACTTTGTCAGTTCTGAATCCATGAGGTCAGTATACTGCATTCATGTCATGACAACCTTCAGAGCTTCGTGCATTCATATGGTAGCTTCGTACCATGTTGTTGCTGCACTCCAAGATACTTCATACCATACAGGTATTTCGCACCGAGTGAATACTAATAACAATTAAAAATGGCTGCCTACAATGAGTTTCTTATTCGCTATCTGGAAGTGTACATTAATATTATACACTAGTACGTGAAACAAACACTACCATGTCCTGATGCAGAGCGTCTGGGACAGCCGCCGCTGATGGCGCTGTACAGTTTTGAAATATTTTGTTGCTCACAATGATAATCTATTACCTTTTATAGTCCAACCATGTTGAATCCATGTGATAATGTTGTTACCTGTATGGACATAATTATATTTGTTAGGGACGAGTTCATCTGACAGAAATGTGACATTTAAGGACAGTATGTAAATTAGTTTGCACAAAAATAACGAAATACCGTTTTCTAATGATACGTGTTGCAAAATCACGAAGTATTATTGGTAAATTAAATAGTTAACAGAAAGCATAATGTACAATAGTAACCCATTAAGTGTGCTGTATATATTTAACCCTGAATTATTACATGCATAGTATACAGCACTGTGGCTTGGATACACCGGGTATCGATGTTATATTGCTGCCTATCGGACGTTGAAGGGCACACTATAATAATACACCGTGGCTGTCCATCTAATGTAGTTGCCCAATGATCTAGGTTCGTGCCTTATTCCATGAGAATTTGCTTACAGGGTTCACACCACCAATTAGCCTATCAGCGTTCTTTAGCCATTATTTGTTTCCCTCCACCACATTTTATCTAAAACGCGATGTTTGAGGGAGAACTTCAATTACGTCAGCTGTGGATTAGTATGATTGAATTTAAACTTGATTCGAACAGCACACATGTTATGTCAAAATGTCCAACTGGCTTACATGTGGGTTATACAATTTTGTTCGATATGAGAATCGGTTTGCTAATAGTTATAAATTTGACTGAACAAACCAGGAAACAAGTGACACATTTACATCTCACCGTACACGAAAGCTCATAAATGTAATCTTTGTGACTGTACCGTAAACCTGTCGATTGAATTCTTCTACGTTTGTATTATATTCCAACAAATATCTTTTGGTCTGTGGATCACTTCAAAAAAATACATTTTATATTTATGGTGCTGTTCGCCCATATATTTTCTCCTATTTGAGGGTTTTCATTTGACCTAAATTGTTTGAGATCTGCCATGGAATGAACCATCTTTAGGACGACGGAAGATACTACTTACTGATAATTTGTACTTAACTATCCATAAATTGAAATTGTTTTCCAAAAATGATAACCCCTTTAAGGAGTTCAAATGAACCACACCTTACCTGAAGTAAACTTACTTTGTACTGGTAGAAAATGGTCTGTGTGTACTAATATTTTAAACAAAATTGGAGAGTTGTGGTTATTTTTGTATAGGTTTTATTTGTTGGTGATTGGTTAATATTAATTCCTGATGATTGTTGATTTGAATCTACAAATTATGGTGATTGTTGATTTGAATCTTCAAATTATGGTGATTGTTGATTTGGATCTTCAAATTATGGTGATTGTTGCTTTGAATCTTCAAATTATGGTGATTGTTATTGATGGAAGGTCAATTGCTTTGGTATTTTACATTACAATGCACATTACAATGAACAAGGTATGTACGCACCTGTCACTCTAAATGATGCCTGACGGAGTAGTGAACTTTGTGGACTATTTGTCAAGTCTAAGGAATTCGGCTTCGCTTTCATTGGAACTGCTGACAGCCGTGCCCCAATCAATTGAAGCTTGCGTCGAGTGAAGAATGGCAGCCACAAACATGTACGCAATCATTTGGTGTTTGGTGTGTATCAGTATTGCAGGTAAGACCCCGTATTCAACGTGAGTTTCAAAAATGTAAAACTTTTAAACATTGGCTGAGTTTTTCAAAAGTGTAGGCAGCTATAAGTGACCTACTAGGCTACTGTTCTTAAATACGCGACGGTGCAGCTAAAATTACAGCAAAGATTGGGATAAGATAAACGCACCAAATCACATTTCACAATTCTTTGCCCATAATTTAACAGGGGTAAAAGTGAAGCTTCCCAAATTGTTATACGAGTGAAATTTCAATAATCGTCGACAGAAAGGTCGTCACAATCGATGAGAGCTGTATTCAGTAATGGTTATCAATTTATAACGTGGGAATGGTCACATTAGAACTCAGAATAACTCAGATTAGAACGGTTTTGCTGTGCTGTGTATGGCTCATGCTATTTTATATAGAAGTGACAGTGAAAATACGACCTGGGATCTCCATGATTTTAGTTTAGTAAATTTTTTTAGAAAGAGAATACAAAATTAAATTGGGGAGAGCTGGAGGGTAGGGGTAGGATTAGTGTTAGGGGTGGTGGTGGTATGACAGAAACTCTTTCCCAATGCTTGTTTACACTCCTGTTGTTAAATTCTTTTTATTGTTTTGTGTTTTTTTAGTGCAACGTCATTACTGTGTCAATAAATAAATGTAAATATGTACTGAATGGAGAACTTTGTAGTCAAGGAATTCTTTCTCCGTTTTATAAGAACTGTTCACAGCCGTGTCCGATCTGTTAAAGTGTTACTAGCGAGAGTCTATCCTGTAACTTGGTCAGCCAGGGTTGTGAGAACCGTCATGGTGACTTCCCGGGAACAATTGGATAGTTGCTCTAAAAAGCTAAACTATTGCCAAAATCATGAAGACAGTCATTTCGCGCTGTACAAGTTACATTATTGATGAAGTAGTTCTCTGGGCGGAACAAGCGCTGTCTAAACAACGCACCCAGGCCACCCAGTTTTTCGGACACGACCAGAACCGATAGAACGTACCATAATTAGTTACTTATATGGCTCCGTTCTGTCATGGTCCCATTTTGACTTCAACTAAAACTTCCACTTTAATTAAAATTGTAATTAAGATATTAATTTCACTTCTGTTTCCACTTAATTATTGTTCATACATTTAGATAATGAATTATTCGAATTGCACTAGATGCGTATACGCACTGCGTTTTCATCAGTGAATGTTTCAACAGTGAATGTTTGCGTCTTTTCCAGGTGTATCGAGTGATACATGCGAAGGCTATACCAGTTACGGTATATATTATGAAGGATTCGAATGTCCAACCTTGCTTTACACTGAGGACGAGACCTACTGCTGTGGAGATGATTCATACAGATACTGCTGTGATCAATCAGCTTTTGATTTCGGTAACGATTTAGACGATGCTGTCGACACGGCTGTCGGATTAGCGTATGTATAATTATTTTGTACATCTTTCTCAATGTGTTATCTTTACTTGTTGTCGAATACATAAGTAATTAATTGAAAGTACGAGTACATCGGAAGGTTTCTTTGTACACGCATTGTCTGACATGGTATCAGTTATTCAAGGGACTCGTGTAATAATAATTAACAAATATTTATTTTTCAGTACGGCGGTCATTATTGGAATAATATGTGGTGTCATTGCACTTGTGGTCCTCATAATAGTATGCATAGTTGTATGTGTGTATTGCTGTATCAAGGGGGCTACATCAAGCAGCCAGGCTACAACCACCGTGGTACATCGTAAGTTAATTTTGATGGAAAATATTACTTTATTGCAAATTTATTAGATGGGATAACGCAACTAGAATGATGTTATTGTTATGTTTCTGTTTTTTTTTCTTTCAGAAACTGCCCCTGCACCGGCCTACAGCAACGCGCCTCCGCCTAACTATTCAGAGCCAGGAAAAGGTCCGTCGTATGCCGTCTAACTAAACTATACAAGTGGACAGGTGTTAATCAGCAAAAACGTTTTTCGTATTGAATGCATCCTAACAGTGTATCGTCTAAACCATGCATGAATTATACACATTATATTATCAACTTCAAATATTATTTGAAATTTAATGTGGAAAGCTGTATTAATACATGAAAATTCAGATTCATATTTACCCAAGAATTCATAAATGTATTGTTTGTTTTAATTGCTAGAATAATAAACTTGCACTCACCAAACTGCATCATACTGCAATGTGATACTAACCTACACCCCCCCCCCATATTTAGTCGCACGATGATACTAATTCACTACGATTACCAAAAACAAAGTGGAAAGAAATTAAGTAAGCAAATTAACACGACTTTTGTTCACGTGTAATAAACAATAGCCCAAAATATAACACATAGTCAATTCCCATGACATGAATTTTTAATTATTGAATATACCAGCATGGGAGCAAAAATCCGCCGTCTAAGTCTGAGCCGTGTTTACTGTTCTCGATTTGCATACTACATACCTATTTTTCTTTAAAATGACAACTGTTATAGGTACGTTAGGTTTGCCAGGCCAGTCTTAGGGTGATGATTTTGGAAATACTGGTTACACAATGTCAAACATCTCCTATGAAAGAGGGAAGGGGTCACTTGGTAAAGAAATGTGCCAGACCGACTTTTGTAAGTCAATTCGAGGGTGTCTATTCCGAAAATGTTATAAAGACGTTTACAGGTGCGTTCAATCTCAATTCAGTCAATCCCATGTAAAAGGGAGAAAGGGATCGTCCAGTAAAGAAATGTGCCAGACCAATCATTTTTGGTCATTTTGAGGGTCTTTTCGGAAAGTGTACGTTATACAGGCGTTCAATCTCGATGTCAACTGAAAATCAAGATTTTGTCAAATTATCGTACAAAATAATCAGTAAACTTTGAAAGGTGAGGCCTCGTATGAGAGGGACAATGGCCTAACAAATATTTTCAAGTAAATTTTGTAATTGAACATTTCCCACATGAACCGTTTAAACCGATATCTGCATATTTCCCGCGAGTTTTTTTTTTTTTTTTTGTATTCACATTTTTTGTTATTTCTCCATATAATTGAAAGTTTTCTTTGAAAAGTGCAAATCTAAGGTTTTTTTGACCAGATTTGCTCTAAATACTTCTGAATATTACATGGACCAAAATATCGAAGGTACTGTGGATATTTTGATGTCAAATGTCAAAAACTTAAGATCATCAAGTATTCATTCAGATTTTTATAGGCGAGTCTCAGATTGATGAAGCCAATAGTTGGGATGTCCGTATGGCGGCGTTGCTAACTTGTGAAGAAAAGCCTTGGTCATTTGGCGTCACGCGTTTGTGTTACGCCATGGATCTTCTGTGTCGATAAAAACCCTATTATCTGATAATAACAAATGTAATGACACAAAATATATCAGAAATGACTTAAATACCATCACAAAGACTGAATACCGACACAAGAGCTATGGACCCACAGCTTATACGATGTGTACATACCAAATAACATATCTCTTTTAATCTTAATTGTGTATGTATACATCACTCATCGGTATTCCGTGCCTTTCCGTGTTGAGTTAATTTACTACCTTTCATATTACAGCAAGGTTTTAATATTTTTAATAGTTTTATGGTATAAGCTGATTGTAGCAGAACAAACCTATACATGTGCTTTGATTGGTTTGTCTTGTCAGCTGAGGACTGAATTTGTTTCCTTTTTCGTTCCCATCGTTCCAGACGCCGAGAGCAACAGACATGTTCTGTTTTGTTTTTTAGCACATGTCTTCTAAATTCGTTGATTAGGTCAATCGTTTAACGAATTTCATTATTTGTAGAAAATTAAAAGCCGGTTGTGTCCACTTGAGGCACCTAATTAAAACATTGCTGGGTTTATACGGTCGTTCGTTGTAATTACCAGGATGAAATAGCAATGCCGATAGAGGGCAGGCTTAACGTATATCTCTCCGTATATTAATTGTAACCCAATCGTCATTGTATATCGTTAAGGTGTATTTTATGAACTGTTCAATAAAGTTAAACTTATTGAGTGAGTGTACAAAAACGCTGTGTTCTACTGTCGAAGACCTTTCGAAATCTAAAAATTAAATCACACCCGGAATATTAAATAAGTATGTGTATTGAATAACGTCGTATATAAGATAGACATTTTGATCCAAATATTGACCTTTTATTCACGCCGTCCAGCCATGGTGTATTAATTTCAATGGGCAATGTGGAAGATAGTTGCACTTTTAATTCCTTTGCGTCCACTGTCATGTGTACATCTTGATCTAAGTAACAGGGGAAACCACGAAACAGGTAAACCTCTAGTTTAGTGGCCCACTGTAATTATGAAGTCAGAAAAGGGTTCTAACTTAACATCCTCCCACATACACACACACACACGCAGCCCCCACAAACAAACAAACAAACACAGATATATACACATATAAAACTCATGTTATGTGTTGTGCATTTTTTGTGTGTGTAGATGTAAGGAAGAGTGGAACAAAAATTACCCGGATGTACATATCTGGCACACCAGATACACTCATTTATTAATCACGGGTCACTCGTTTACAATCTCTCAACAAACACCTTGGTTCAGTCAACTTTATATTTTCTTCGTATTTAGACACCCGCCTATATACATAAATAATACACATGTACAATTTATATAAATAATTGTAAGTTTGCCAATAAACACCAATTATATTAAAGTTGCTCTCTGAGTAATAAAGCATGATAACTGAATAATGCAAGTGATTTAATTTCTATACTCTAATGATACCATAATATGAATGAAATTCTCACACTTGTTTCCCGTACAAATCTCAGATGATCATAACCAGGGCATTTTAACAGCAAACGAACTTCACTTCAGTCTGGCTCAATAGTTTTGAATATATGCCAGTGTCATTGTGTCTACCTATTTATTCTGGTAATTTTCCCGCCCAAAACCAAGTTTAAACTTACTATAACAGGCGGTTTTCTCTAGAAAACATACCTTTGAGTACCATTCCCCAATCGTTTTTATTATTAGACCGATTTGTAAATTCCAGCAGAAAAACAGGTTCGTGATCTCCACGCTGTAGTTGTCTCATAATCGAATCAAAGCCTATATATCGTGAATGTATACTTTTTAGTTGGGGATGAGGTTCGTAATCCCAAATTTCATATCCATATGACATGATATATAACATAATTCTGTCAAAGGTCTTAAAATAAATATCTAGTTTTTTGCTGGCTTTCAGTTAGTAGCCAAGTTTTTTTTATTATTAATGGCCATGAACATTTACTTGGCAAAATTAAACCCACATATTTTTCACGATACAGCCCCAAAGACGCAATACGTTGTTTCAAAATTAATACGTACATGTATAATCATATCTGTGCCCGCTTTGTTTTTATTCAGATTATTTACTAATCTCCTCCGTATCTTTGTTTGGTTCCAGTTCCTGGTCTTACTCTCCGCTGAATAATTCTCCTTCAATATGGAGGAGGAAGTTGCACTCAAACCTTCATAATAGGTGATCCCTGTTTGAATTGTAAGAGGAGTTCTCCTCTCCGGGAGTACAGGCGCCCCCAAGATAACGACCGCACAATGTAATAGTATGACGTTACAAGTGTTGTTTTAGTTGGGAGCGCGTGGGGCCAGTCATTAATGGGTATAACACTGTGAATGTGTCTAATATTAACTGATCTTGAAGAATTGTAACTAAAGCATCTATAGCAAATTCTGCCGTGGACGACTTTCTTAGTTTAACTGTGACCCCATACTTGGCCCAACTACATTCCATCTGATTGGCCAAACAACTTTGATTGAATCAAAACGTGTGTAAAACCACTTGCAGGTAACTTGCTTGCTGGCCTCGCTTTCATTTCTAAAGACTACAGCTGTTTCCATGGTATGCAAGCAAACATAATCTTGTAAACATGGCGCCTGTACACAGTTCACCTGCCCAGTTGACGTGTTTTCTACTTTTACTGCTATTAGCAGGTGAGAATTTGTTTTCTTCGAATCGATTTCCTTCTGTTCATTCCTCAAGACACTCGACTCGTCAAATTAAACTTAATAGAAACTACGTTTCAAACTTATTCGTTTGGATTCTCACATAGTTATACAAGTTATAAATAGAATGGCCTACAAGCACTTTGATTGGCTCATATGAGAAAATTAATTTAGTGAGTCGCTTGCATCACAAGCTACTTGTCTATAGCCGTTTTAATTCAAATTTCGACATACAATAATAAAGGTCACATATAATAAACTTCAACGCCTCTGTGTTCACGCCTATTGTTTGTCTTTGCATCGTCCACCTACTATACGTGTAGAATTGACGTCCTTTGCAAACTAGTGGTCGACCTGACAAAGGGGGAGTTTAACAAACTATTGCATGTTATAGTTCACTGATCACAAATAATGTTGAAATACAGCACCGTCGCTGTTATTACCCGCTCCTCGCACTGGAATACCGCAATGTAACGCTATATAAAGTTATATATTTGTCGCTATTATTCGTTATCAGTCGGTATACTTTTTTTCGGGCCTAACTACATTTCATTGTGTAAACAATGTTTTCGACGTCGTATAATGAACGGGAACAATGAGTGTGACGTTCGTGAAGCAGTGAATGAGGTGCAAGCAGACGCGACATGACCGGTCACGTGATGTGATGTGATGTTAAGTGTATGGTCAGTTGACGTCATCATTATAATACTAACTATGCTGTATTTCAGGTGTTTCGGTCAGTGATTATTGTAGCGGTTATTGGGACGACTACAATACATACCAGTTCGGATTTTTGTGTGATTCATACTGTTGCGGTTCAGATACAGACAAATATTGTTGTAGCATTGACCCAGACGGTATTGATGACCTATTCAATAGTGATTGGAACAACCTGAATGAAGACATCGGAGATACCGCAGAACACATGTAAGCAATTTGTGTCCGTAAATACGTGAAAACTGTGATTCGCGAAACAACACGTTACAGGTCGATCATTTGAAATCATGGGGGATGGCCGAAAGAAAAATATTTAGGCAAGACATCAGGATAAGATAAAAAAAATGGATAACACATTCACGAAAAATTAAAATAAATATAAATATACAGAAAAGACACTGCGACAAAAATTGCACTCATATTCTTCCAGCAACTCCAGCCTTATTTCAAACTGGTTGTCGGAGTCTCAAATGATTGACCTCCAATTCAAATCTTATGTTACTACATTTATAAAAATGTATTGTACAGTATATACATTCATTTGAACTTTTTTTTTATTTTTTTTTATTTCATAGAACCAAGATAATCATTGGTGTTGTTTGTGGTATAATTGGTTTGATTGTACTAATCGTTATTATCGCCGTCGTAGCATGTGTATGCTGTATTTCATCGTCATCATCTCCAAGTAGTAGGACCGTTGTTCGTAAGTGTGTTCATTTATTGCGTGTTTGCCCGTGTACCCAATATACCACAATAACTCGGTGGTAAGATATATATGTCTTCGTCGCCTATCTTCAATCTCATTTCCCTCACTCGTGCATTATAACATATACATATTAGGCAAAACTAAACTCTGTGAACATGTGCTTTCTCCTAGACAACCAAGTTGCTCAGAGTCCTCAGGCAGCGGTCGTCTCCTACAATGCAGCGCCTGTTGCTTCCCCTGTTTACATGCAGACAGGACCTCCTCCAATGTATGGTCAACCACCACCAATGTATGGTCAACCAGCATATGGATTTCAACCAGACCAAACACAACCAGCACCAATAAACGACCCTGCGTACCCACCCCCTACTTCATGCCCTGTATGAGAAGGACACTTTCACCTTAAAACCTGTAAAATAGCCATGACCGTCGCACTTATTTTCATTTTGCGTCATAACCGAAGATAAAATAATAACGTTGTTCGCTGATATAAAACAACGTTCGGGCAACGTTGTCACAGATTGCTTATTTGCAAAAATGTAAACAAAGTCGCTACAATGCGACGGCAAATAGCAATACAGACTCCTCTTTATTGGGGCAGAAATGATAACAATAAGCAAAAACACAGAATAAATAAACAGTTTTGAACCAGTACAACCGTTAGACCAGCATATGTAAATATCGCATCGAATTATTTATAATTAACTAATACTAGTAAATTGGTTGTCTGAGTTCTAACAATAGTTGAAGAGACAACGCGTCTTTCAGAATGTGTGTGTACTTAGATTGTAGAGAATTATTTTAGTTTCGATAAATACAGGACGTATTTTACATTTACATTTACCTGCACATTCCACATATACACAGAAATAAAAACCGCTTTAAACCAGTTTAGTGTAGTTTGTGTGCCCTCAAAACGCATATATCAATATCTATAGTGCATTGTAAGCATTGTATACCCTCTCAACTATCTCCACACTGTGACTGGCGGGGCATAAAATGAAAGATCTGTGTGATAATGATAATGTGTGATTGGATCGGAGAGATTGTTTCTCGTTTTTTCTGGATACTAGTCCCATTTATTTACATGTACAATACCGGCACATATGTGTCATGTATACCTTGAAAAGCACAGTCAGATGATGTTTTCCAGTTTTGGGTGTTATTCTTTGCACACTTGAGTAAAACGTTTTCGGAGGACCGACGCAAATAAGAGGCGGACCATTGGAAACTCCTGTAAAATCAGAAGTTTCTGACATAGAAAGTAAAGCAAGTATAATAACTCCGAATAACAGAGATTACCATGCCGTTTATTTGGTGTTATTTACTTACATATAAATATATATTTTTCTTTTCGATTATTATATATATACCTGTTATTTGTTATTGAGACCCCTCCCAACAACAACAACAACAAAAATAACAACAACCGTACAACAATTGTATACTAGTATTTATAGTTTGTTGGTATCTTCTGTATACATGTGTTGGGTATTTGATGATCTAGAAATAAACTTGTTCGAATTTGTTCAAATATTTATTCGAACAAAAATAAATCCAAGGTAAAACTAGGAAGATAATGATGTAAGCCACAAAAGATTGATAAACGAAATTGATCACACTGTTTAATGTTTAACCGATATGGGTGTGCGACAATCGTTTTCAACAACCCTTTATCCATTAAAATGCATCGTCTGAATCGCACGGTTTCGCTAAAGCCGGCCAGTTATAACCGGCCCACGAACGTTAATGTTGAAGGTTCGGCTCATTGGGCTCATATTCACTATACACCAGCAATTCTTAAAAAAAATAGTTTTGGGCAATTCTTAAAATAAATTATTATAAAAAATACGTGTATTAGCATGATTTAAGTTGGGGTTTAAAATGATACGCAGTATACCTACCTAACTCTTCGCCATAATTCTAATGCAAACTTATTGACTAAATCTTAAACTTTCTAATCTCTTTTTCAAAATTGTTGAGATTTCTATCTGTGCTTATCATTGCAGTCTGACAGATCGCTTTACCGATGACCCGGTCTAAGGCATATTTGTATTACTCAAGTATGGCGTGCATACGGGTAACCTATGAATGAGTGTACTTAGAGTTCATTGCCAAAACTATTTTCGCCGGTATCGCGATGCCATTGTGGTATTTACGAGCAATCTTGTTATATTAACGAGACGCGACGAGACTTGCGATATCACGGTCGTGTTATCATACTTGGTTTTACGATATGTGTTGTGGAACAAATGCAGATTATTTCAATCAGATTTTGTTATTTCCTTTGGAACTAGATGCACAGAAAGCGTACTGTGAATGACACACATGCAGATACTCAAGCTCTTGGTCGAAGGTTGTGAAAACTTGATAAACCTGGCAACCGTGATGTACTACATACGCTCAATTAAATTATTTTAGTAACGATTTTGAAAAGTTGTGCTAAATTTTATCTGAAATAAAGTAACTCTCATGTCGATTTATGTATGGGTGAAAGTAGATGCAAGTTTGCACTGATAAATTTTAAAGCTCCGCAAACTGTTGTTTTCTGTTTGATTACTCGTTACCATGCCAACTACATAGCATATACAGTTGCCGATCAGTAGCCCTAAACAGTTTTTGAGCTGAGTTTGCAATGCGTAATACCAATACCTCATCGACACACGTAAATATCGACCGAGGGTTGGATCAATATTTGTTTTATTATACCGAACAAAACAAACAATTTGTTAGTATTAGACTGTGTCTCTTCTGATCAGGTTTTCAATGACAATATCCAGAATGTTCTCCATTCACAAGTACTTGTTTCACTACACTTCCAATAGTTCGTATTTATTTATATTCCATAACCCCTTCCGAAATTACTGTCACATTTAAGATTTTTGTAGGCATCAACTTGCTATGAGCGGCTTCTGATATTTCAGAAACTGCGATCTTTACACATAACTCAAATACACATAGACAAAACATCACACTGCACTCGGCCCACTCGGACATAATTAAAACGAAATATAACAACACATTTCCAGTTAAATGAACAGTTTAATGAAACACAGATGTATGTAATCAAATTACCTTGATGAAATAAATAGGAGCACTATACGTCAGTATACGACGTCAACAAATCCAGGAATACCGTGCAAAGTTCAGGTTGTCAGCTATACATAGGTACACGGTGCGGCGACTACGGTCGGAGTGACCGACAGATGTAGTCGTGTTGTTTGATGATTATCTCCCGGTTACAAATATTCACATAGAACATAACTCGTTGCAAGTGGCCAACGAGAAGTCAATATGCAAATACATTCCCAGCTAAATGCGCGAATCCGATTGGCCAATAGGCTATGAGGTATAATTATAGTTAGTATATATATAGTATAGTTATATTATAGTTAGTATATATATTCGCTTACAATTTAAGCATCTGTAACGAATATTATTTGACTGTTCTCGCTTGGACAACTGTGCAGCACTATGATAAAGACTTTCCGTTTTCGACGTTGTGGAATTGCGAATTCTTTCATTGTTTTGAAAAAAATTAAAATCAAAAATATTTTATAACGAAATGTATTCCGTATGCACACCATTAATAATTTTCAGAATCGCCGATTATACTTGAATAATGCCAGCAAAACATAATTTGGTACATTCTCAATATCTTTGCATTATATTTGAAGTATGACTGAATGCAGATGAAGGAAATTACCAAACATGTAACGTGTTTAACAATGTCGATGCGGTTGGGGTTTCTTTTCTTAAAAATCGACTTGCATAGATGCTAGAACCTAGAAAAAACATTAACTCACTCACACACATGCACGACAATTTATATATATTATGACTTAATATCGTCCATAGATTGCTTAGTATTAATAAGATCACTTTGGCAGACTACATTTGTAGATTTATTTAACAACAAAAACGCGACACAAATTTAATATTTTTTTCAAAAACTGCATATTAATCATATGTATCAACCATCGTATGTATTCTTTGCTTGGGTTTACTATCAACGTGTAAGGAATCTGACCGAATCTACTCAGGTTGTACTGATTGATTAATTACCAAGGACTAAAATTAAGTACTGCAATTTGCTATACACTACTCACTGGACATTGCGTACATGAATAAGGACATTTCTACAAGAGGATATTCTTTCAATTGAGCAGTGTGTTTGATGGTATAAACAGAACGCACCTTATACGAGCGGCGATGTCAATTGATTTCCATATAACAATTGTTGTCATAGCAATCTGTTTACCATGTTTTCAGTGCTGTCCATTAAGAATGATATTGGACCCTGTCAACCGCCTTTCTTTGTCATTGTCCTTGTAATGAGATCCATTTGCAAATGAATCAGATATGTGTCACAGCAAAGGCATATATATATACAATTACTTAATATTATGATGTTATTTAGGCAAGGGGGTTATTTGATCGAACTGTTTTGGGATAGAAAAATTCTACGTATACGTTTTATTTCTGCTAATTCATCAACACTTTATTATATTTAACGGGCGTGCCGTCCGACGATTATATTCTAGGCCAATCAAGCGCTCACCCATTGTTGGTATTATCATTGTACTCTATAGGAAAGATTACCAACCTTTAGCTTACCGTGCCCTACACTGTCAGAAATATTGCCATTTTGACATTATGAAACCCACGATATATTTTCAATAACAAAATATGAAATAAATAAACATTTTAATTGCTTATGAGAAAGCATTGTAATAATCTTTATAATATTTATTTTGATTAAGCGTAACTAAAACTGTTGTATGCCTATTTGTTTGGTATTGTCCGTTTAGATTAGAAAGGTATTGTTAATACCGTTAAACGGTATCAATAGCTTTACACTGTTTTAACCTTGGGTGTTATACCAGGATTGGGTTTGTTGATAAACTTACGCAAGATAAACCCTGCGCAACAGAAACGATGGGTACTGCTAAGATATTAAGTTCCAGTTTATACTGTCTTCTGCTCATCTGCATTAGAGGCAAGTATTTGGGTTTTTATTCTTCTCTGTAAAAACGTGCTGCTGTAAACGCCGACAGGGGTGACAGTGACTCTGATGATTTATTGAATTATATCTTTTCAGTTGCATGACTTTGTGTTATAGTATTTCGCTTACAGTGTCTTTCATTTCATGTTCATCGGGGTGATCTTTGACCTACTTTGAAAATGCTTAAGAATGAATTAAGTAAAGTAGTATAAAAGTATAAACATGTAAACATGAAAAAAGATTCATTAAAAAAACAAAATATAAAATATTACTCAATGACATAAAAATGTATAAGAATATAAACATGTCAAATAATAACAAAAATAATAATTTAGCCTTGCTCTCACCCATGTCTTTCATTTTTCATTTGTCTGTTCCTATTTCAAAACAATGGTTGCCTGATTGAAATTTGCTCAGTCGTTCAAATAGTTCAGCGTTGTCTAGTATACTCGGGTAGTTGTACAGACACTGAATATTAGAAAGTGGACATTCTTACAGTTTGAGATATTTCTATGGACAACTATCGTAACCAAAATTTACAACTACATTAGACATCATGTCATTTGTTCGATGGCCTGACTCAAAATGGCTGACCAATTTCAGTTTAGTTTACTACTGAATCAACGGGGACTCATGACGTGACTTGTGTTTATATATTATGGTCAATATTTTGCAAAAATGGTCAAAGTATTATTGTTAATCATCACGATTTAGGACAATTCTGAATGTATTTATCACCTTAAAGATTATCACAGTGAACAAATTGTGACATAACTATTGATTGCGATATACACGTGCAATCGGATTATAACATTTTTGAGCATTCTTATATGTTATACTTCACTGCTTTTTAAAAATTTGCTTTTAATGCCGTGACATAAATA